CCCCGCCCAGGTCTGCCCCGCCCAGGTCTGCCCCGCCCAGGTCTGCCCCGCCCAGGTCTGCCCCGCCCAGGTCTGCCCCGCCCAGGTCTGCCCCGGGTCTGAATTCATCTTAAATGATGAAACACCAAGGGCCTGAAGCAGCCTATTGGGCCACGTTGCTTAGACCAGGGTTTTTTGATGGCTCTGGGGTGATCCAGTTACCAGGGACTAGGACCATGACGATGATGCCTCCCTTTTCAGAATCTTCCCATGGAATTTGTGTAGTTGTCAGCCACACAATTGTCTTCTGGTTTAGTGTAACTGTAAACTTTATTTCTCATTGTATTTATGAAGATTTTTTTTTTTTGGTACCGGGACTTGAACTCAGGACCTTGGGCTTGCCAGGCAGGCGCTTATGTTACTGACCTACATCCCCAGCCCTATTTCTCATTGTAAAATGGGACTTCTACTAATAATCTCATTGATCCTTGAACAACTCCACAGCCCAGTGATTCTAAAATTCAGTGTGTAGAGGAAACATTGTTAAAAATACCGTTCTGAGCTCCTATCACCAGAGACTTAAAACCTATACATCTGAGGACCTCACTTTAGGAAACTCTTTTAGCCAGGCATGATGGCACTGCTTTTAATCTCAGGACTCAAGGAAGCTGGGGCAGGAGGATCACAAATTCAAGCTCAACCTGGGCAACTTAGGGAGAACGGGTCTCAAAATTAAGGTCCAATCTCCAATACATAAATAAATACATAGCCCTGTTTCAGGCCCCCAGCTGTACCCAATGTGCTGGCATTTCTGTCCCGATTTGCCATATGTCTCTCCCACAGGTTACATTCTGCTATTTTCAGACTGTTTCTTTAATGCACTAGTTTATCCATGGACCCAGCAGATGCCTCTTGTCACTGGCAGGACTGGGAACCCAGCACGTCCGCATTCCGGGGAGGGAGCCTTCCCGAACACCTCCTTGGCGGGGCAGGGGCAGGGTGGCTGCTCAAGGGTGGCTCCTCCGCAGGTGCTGCTGGCCCTCTGCCTGTCCTGGCTCCTCTGTTACGTGCTCACCATCACCGACGTCCTCCCTTCGGCCCCCACCGCCCCCGGGTACCTGGCCCGCACCGACTCCAGAGGCAACGTCCTGAGCCAGGCCCCTTGGTTTCGCTTCCCTTACCCAGGTAGGGACACACGGTGGCCCTTCTTGCTGGGGACAGCCCGTGGGGCCCAGGGAGGGCGCTCGAGTGGACTACGGCTCTGAAAGGGGTGGACAGTGGGGGTCAGGCCCAGGAGGACCATCCCTGACACTTGAGAGACGCAGGAGATCCCAGGCCACTCTGCAGACCCTGCAGGGCGGTGGACCAGGGGCTGGCATCCCAGACCCACCTGCGAGCTGGGCCCCACGCCCTCCACGTTGCTCAGGACCCCCAGGCTGAGAGTGAATGGGAAGAGGGAGACAGAGCCTTGACCCCCAACCAGAGCTTTGGGTTTCTTCCTGGGCTCAGGGGATCTCACAGAGGGAGCCAGCCTTCCTAAGACCCCTCTGGCAATGAACGATGTGGGCTTCGGCAGCTCTCCTGAGTGGAGGTGGCCCTGCCCTGCGTTTCCAGGACAGTGGGGCCTCCCGACCGTCAGCCTGGCTGGGGTCTTCGGGATCATCGCCGGTGTGATCGCTTCCATGGTGGAGTCCGTGGGTGACTACTACGCCTGTGCGCGGCTGGCAGGGGCCCCACCCCCTCCGAAGCATGCCATCAACCGTGGCATCAGCATCGAGGGCCTTGGCTGCCTGCTGGCGGGGGCCTGGGGGACAGGGAACGGCACCACCTCGTACAGCGAGAACGTCGGGGTGCTGGGCATCACCAGGGTAAGGCTGCGGACTGAGCGCCCACCACAGGCTGGGCACCCGAATCTGCCGCGCTGTGAGTTAGTTTCCTGTGACTGCCGGAGCAAACCAGCACAGCCCACCTTGTTATCTTACGGTGGGAGGTCAGAATTGGACATGGGTCAGTTCTGGGGCTGCAGAGGAGGCCTCCCGGGCTGTGCTCCTGTCTCCCCAGAGGCTCTGGGGTGGGAGGCGCTTCCCACCTTGGCCCTCGTTGGAGGCTGTGTGTCCCTGGACCGCGGCCCCTCCCGCGATCCTCCCTGCCACCACTGGGAAGGCTCTCTGCTTGCAAGGACCCACCCGGTCCTTCACTCAGTCACACCCTAGAGGCCTTTTTCCATTCAAAGCCACATACAGGTCGGAGGTGAGGACACGGGTGCTGCCACACAAAGTCTGTGCTGCACTGGTAGGCGGCGGCTTTCTCAGAAAGGAAGGGAGCCGCTCCTTTCTGAGGTTCAGGCGGGAGGTCCGCCAACCTGAACATTCGGTTGCACCCTGGCCGCTGCCACCTGATGTCCCCGGGCTCCTTACTCCCAGGGGCTCCCAGGCGGTGCCCCATCGCAACTTCTCCAGCAGCCCTTTCTTAGTGAGTTCACCCCAGACATCCTAAACTTCATACTGTGTTGAAGGCCTTGGCGGCCATACTTGTTGAAGGCTCCTGGCGGCCTTGTCTTCTTGACCTTGCTCCTTTCCTGGCCTCCTTCTGCTCTTGCAGCCCCCTTCCCCCTCCTGGATTCTGCAGTGCTGCCGCACGTCTGCTCTTGCCGGGACCTGGCCTATCTCTGATCCGCCTTCCTCACGCCTGCCCAAGGATCTTTCTCGAGCCTAACTCTGACCAGATTGGCCATGTGGCTCCACATTTCCCGCAGTAAATCTCTAGGTTAGCAAGAATTCTTTGGGATGGTGCTTTCTAAAGTGACTTAGGAAAGAACAAGATTATTAGGTCCTTTCCCGTGAGCTTCAGGTATCTCCGCAGTGGTTCCCAGCATAAATTCCGGGAGCTATGGAAGAGCAAAGGCCCTGGCCTCTGCCCAACTTGTACGGCCTGATGCCGCCCTTGGTGGCTCTGCTGTGCAGCTGGTGGTATTGTGCCATCTAGCTCAGGTCTGTGTGACCTCAGCACAGCTGCAGCTAAAATCCCTGAGCAAGTGGCTGAGCCCCACCCTCACCACATCCTGTGACTCTTTTGCTCTCACTCAAGGTCTCCAGGCCCCTAAGGGCTGCAGGTGAGGGGAGCAGCTTTCCACAGGAAGGTCACAGACCCACACATACAGCAGTTGGCTCCATAAGTATAAAGCAGACACTATTTCCTTTCCTGCTAACAGGAACAAATCTCAAGCAAAACAACATTATGTTCAATAGTCAAAAAATTTCTTCGTACATTATTCTTGAACCAAGGCCCTTTAGAGGTGAATGAAAGACATCCAGCAGGGAACAGGCTACTGTCAAGTAGGACATTGTCAACCCGGAGGCACAGGTGCAAAGACCACTGGCTGTAATGGGCCCACACTTCCCCCTTGTGGCCCTTTGAGGTACTGTTTTGCGTGGCATCTTTACAGGAGGAGCTCCCACCCCCAGCGAGCTGCTGTCTCTTCTCTAGGACGTTGTGGCTTCCAGCCCAGATGTCGGTCCTGAGGCCAGAGAGTCCCAGGGCTGCATGATGAGTGTATGAAGTATCCCTACATCTTTGTAGAAACTTCATTCTATTTCATGATCTAAGAGCCACTGTAAGAAAGTGGCTGGAACACATTTCTTTAGCATCCCAGAACTCCTAGCTACTCAGCAAACCCCATGTATGTCAGGCGTGGCATTGCAGAGCAATTCCAACCAGGTCAAACACTGTGAAAGTCAATTGTGAGAGTTCAGCCTGAGAGCAACAGTTCACACTCGCTTGTGGAAGTGAACTCTTACAGTGCTCTATGATAGCAGGGGAAGAGCACTGTCCCAGGTGTGTGCGCTGAGCGCATCTTCACAGCAGGAAAAGCCATAGTTAAAGATCACCTGTTGAACAAATCTACCATTGTCCTAGCGGAGAAAATGCATTGGTTAGTAATAATGAAACGACTTTTATGGGGGATATTTTAAAAATGTAAACTACATCATGTCACCGCCTGGCTTAAAAACTGTCTTTTGAGGATGCTTCTTGTCTTTGGGTTTTTTACTTCCTACTTTTTTTTTTTTTATTGTGGACAAATACACAAACCATTCAATTTACCACCTCGATTATGTCTACATGTGCATCTGCTAGTGTTAAATATCTGCACTTTCTTGTCAGCCACCAGCACCATCTGTCCCTGGAACTCTTCTCGTCCTGCAGAACTGAACCCCTGCCCGGTCCTTCCTGCGCCATTCCTTGACCACCGCCACCCTGCCTCTGTCTTTGTGAACTTGACTCCCTCGCTGGGTACCTGGTCTAAGTAGAATCACACTGTCAGTCTTTCTTTGTGATTGCCTTATTTCCCTTGGCATAATGTCCTCAGGGCTCATCCAGTGTCAGAATTTCCTTTTTAAGGCTGAATCATATCTTACTGTAAGTGGTTTTTTTTTTGTTTCTGTTTTTTTTTGATACCGGGAATCGAACTTGGGACCTTGCAGTTACCAAGCAGGTACTTATGCCACTGAGCTATATCCCCGGCCCTTCTTACTGTAAACATAGACCACATTTTGTTCATGCATTCCCTTTTGATTTTATTCTGACTCCTTCCCAGGGCCCCCAGTGCCCTGCAGGACAGAGCCCATGCCTTGCTCTGTGCTTGCATCTCCCACCTTCTTCCCAGGTCCCTGCCGCTCAGGCGCACAACTTTTCCTTTGGTCTCGAGTCACCACAGAGTCAGCACTTGCTGTTTCTCTCTAGAACGTTCTTCTGCCAAACCTTTGTGTGCGGGCCTCTTCTCTTGGGTCCTGGCTGAGCACTGTCCTAAAGCGGCCACCACTGACCTCCTTCCACAGAGCCCCAGGCCCACCACCCTGGGCCCTGTCACCTGTAAAGACTGTCTTCAGAGCACACCCTGGATTGCCGCTGGAAATTAGCTACTTTGTTTACTAGATCTCCTGCTGGGTATCTGTCCTTTCCCACTACGATTAGAAACTCCATTTACAGAGTATCAGGCAACATGGAAACGGACCTGGATGTGATGTGAATAAAATGTAGCTAGGAACTCACAGCACTGCTGGCAAAACCCAGGAGACTGAGCTCCAAGCTAGACCGAGGGGACCTGGTGTTACCAGCATACTCCCGTGTGGCTTTGCGTTCCTCACTCGCATCTCTGGGCCTTGGCTTTGTGGCCTATAGATTGAGAGGTCTGGGTGAGCCACTCTCTCGCTTTCCTCCCGCCCTGGCCTTGTGTGACGCATGAAGCCAGGTGCTACCCCACCGTGCAGGCTTCTCAGGGGAGGAGAGGGCAGGGGCTGGGCCGCAGGACCACACTCTCAGCCTTTCCCAAATTCTTTGGGAGCAGAAAGATTTAGGGGTTTTGTGGCGTCGTTCCCATGAATACACCCCTCTGTCCCCGCTCCCTGGGTGCTGCAGGTGGGGAGCCGGAGGGTGATTGTGGCCGCAGCCTGCGTGCTGCTCCTGATGGGCGTGTTTGGGAAGATCGGGGCTGCGTTCGCCACCATCCCAACCCCTGTGATCGGAGGCATGTTCCTCGTCATGTTCGGGGTCATCAGTGCCGTGGGGATCTCCAATCTGCAGGTGAGGGGGTAAGGCACCCTCAGCAAGGCGGCAGCACTGCCCTTCTTGAGAGGAGCTCACAGAACTGAGGAGGACAGGGTGGGTGGGAGCCCAGGGAGGAGGAGGAGGAGGAAGAGGGAACCCTTCATCCCCAAGTGGGAGAAATAAATGGCCAGAAGCACAGCCCCCGAGCCCCCAAATCGGCCATCTGCCGCCGTGCAGTAAAGGTGCAGTGACGCCTGTGTGAGCTCCCGGCCTCTCTCCCACAGTATGTGAACATGAACTCGTCCCGGAACCTCTTCATCTTTGGCTTCTCCATCTCCTGTGGCCTTGCCATTCCCAGCTGGGTGAGCCGGAATCCCGAGAAGCTGCAGACAGGTGACTGCTCTCTGTCCCCCTGTCCCCCTGTCCCCACCGTGGGTGTGAGCAGCAGGGCTGTTGGCCCCTGGGAACCGTCGCTGTTGTCTCACTCCAGGGATCCTCCAGCTGGACCAGATACTCCAGGTGCTGCTGACCACAAGCATGTTCGTTGGGGGGTTCCTGGGCTTTCTCCTGGACAACACCATCCCAGGTAGGGCCCACCCGTAAGCCGGTAGACGGGCAGCATTTGGCCTACCAGCTGTGCTGGGCTGGTCACAGCACACCCCAAGTGGGTCCTGAATCTGGGGGTGGCGTGAGGAAGGTCTGCATCAGTCAGCTCAGGTTGCTGTGACAAAACATCACAGACTGGGGGCTTAGACAACAGGACACAGCGCCTGGAGATTCAGGCGTGAGCGGCTTGGCTCCTGTCAAGGCCTCGCCTGGGCTTGCAGACTCCACCTTCTGGCTGTGTCCCCACGGGACCTTTTCTCTGAGCACGGCACTCCCAGTGTATCTCTTCAGTCCAATGGCATCTCTTTGTAAAGATAACGTTCATGTTGGATTAGGTTCACCCAAAAGGTCTTGTTGCAACTTTATTGCTTCTTTAAAGCCCTGCTTTGCAAACATAGTCACATCCTGAGGTGCTGAGAATTAGGGTTTCAATATATGCATTTTAAGGGGACAAAATTCAGTCCATAACAAAGCCCTACAATAGGAGCCACACCAGCAGCAAAAGCAAAATGACACAGCCTGGCGCTGTTAAAACCTGCAATCTCACTGATGAGGGAGACCACACATGTGCTCACTGATTGACTGACTCATTCATTCATTCATTCATATCTTTAATAAAAATCCATTGAACATTTGCTCTGTACCAGACACTATGTTCTGAGAACAGGAAGAAGAATAGGACAAGCCCTTGCCTTCTGTCTTGGTTACTTTTCTCTCGTTGCTGAGACAAAATACCCAACACCCAAAATGAAGGAAGGAAAGGTTTATTTGGCTCACAGTTTGTAGAGGTTTCAGTCCATACTTGGCTGACTCCAAGGCAGAAGGTAGCAAAGCAACAAGAGCAAGGGGGAATGGCAGCCGAACAGCAATGCAGCCAGAGCCAAAGGGAGGAATGGCGGCAAGCAGCTTCTTTCTTTGCCTTACTTTGTAAACGTGCTACCCCCACCTAAGGGGCGTGTAGCTCTCACATAATCTCCACGCCCTCCTCTTCCACACGCTCAGGATGTATACAAAGTAAGCACCCTGGCTTCCTGCTGAGTCACTTAGCCAAACCTCTAGACTCCCCAAGTTGACACAATGTATCAACCATAACACCTTCCACAAATCCACACGCTGATGGGCAAAAGAGACAAGGAACAGACACACACAGTGCTCCTGGGTAGTAGGAGCTGGGTAGCAGGCTCTGTGATGGGCAAACCGGGGGTGCAGGGTGGATTGTGAAGGGCGCAGAGGGTTGGTCAGTCGGGAGCGGCTCCTGGAAGGCCTGGCCAGGTCTCTGCTCTCTTCTGCCTGCCCTCAGCCTCTCCGGAGGATCCCTGTGGCCACACCTGCTTCACAGTGTCCCTTTGCCACCCCGCTACTTCCCCCAAATGCAGAGTGCCCGTGTGCCTGGTCTGTTAGGATGCAGTTAAGGCCAGTTCTGTGCTTCCTACCTGGCCGCGGCAGGGGGCGGGGGACCCCGGGCACCTGGCGAGGCGGAGCTTGCAGAAGCTCTCAGGAGGGGCAGACTCAGAGGAAGGGGGCTGCAGCGGGGGAGGGACGAGGAGAGAGAGGAGCAGGCCTGTGTGGGGTCAGCGGCAGGTACGCTGAGGGTCTTGACTTCTGCTGTCCTCCATCAGGAAGCCAAGAGGAGCGAGGCCTCCTGGCCTGGACTCAGATGCACGAGGAGTCTGGGGTGACGTTGCAGGCCTCGGAGGTCTACGGCCTGCCCTGGGGCATTGGCACCCGGTTTTGCACCTGTGCGTGGGCCCGAATGCTGCCCTTCTGGCCTGGGCCGAACCAGGAGGACGCTGGCCGCCAACCGCATCGCTCTTTGCTCCTGAGCACCGTTAGCAGAGCCCCTGGAGAGCGCCTAGACACCAGGATCTGAGGACAGCGGGCCCTACACACCAGGCCACCGGGGAGCACCAATCCGGGTGGCGTCTGGGTCCCAGATCACTGCAGGCCGCAGTGCATCCTTCTGCCGTTCTCCCAACTCTGGCTCGGATCAGCTCACGGAGGTCCAGCAGAACTCTGCTTTTCCACCATGCAGTACTTGGACGGAATGGGAGGAAAAGGGAGACAGAGGGTGGGCTCCTTGCTGAAAGGTGACACGGCACGGGTGTCTTTTCCAAAGAGGCGGCAGGGCTCTGCGGCATCGCCGTCCTCCACTCCTAATCTCTCCGCTGAGGCTTGTGCTGTGCAGCGTGAGGAGCACCCCAGTGGCCCGCACCTCCTCCCAATTCCTGGGGAGCCAGCCCCTCCCAGCTTGGGGACCCCAGCCCGGCCACCTCTCCCTGAGCAGAGTTCAGGCGGGACAGTGGCTGAGATCTGTTCTGCTGTGGCTCCCACCTTTCCCCTCTTCCCTTCCATGTCCCCTCCAGGAGTGAATGGGCCCTGGGGACCCCAGAGCCACAGGGTGGCAGCTATCAGACCCCTTCCAGGAAGATAAGCGGAACCAGGTCAAGGGGGCCAAGTCCCCCGTGAGAAGGGGGTGGAGGCCCGAGGCCCCCTGGGCCATTTCCGTTTTCCTTCTGTGGTTGCCCCACAATGCCTTGCAGCCTTCCAGGCCACATCAGTTGCCCACAGCTGCTCCGGGAGATGCTTGCTTTGGCTGTGGCAGGCTTCAGATGGGGGCATGTTCCAGATGAGGACTCTGCCCCTCTGTAGCCCTCCTTGGTCAGGTCCAAGAGGGGCCCCACCCCTATCCACGACCAAACAGAAAGTCCGACTGCACAGGAGCGCGCCGGCCTCATTTCCTTCATGAATAAGCCATACCCTTATCGGATTCCGTCTGTGCGCTGTTCCCCTTTACACGGCAGCAAGGCTCTAATAAAGTCTCTTTCTGCGCGGCACATTCTTGCCTATCCTACCATCTCCAGTACAGCACGCTGAGCTGGTACAAAGAGCTGGTAACGTCAGAGGCCACTGGCTCTGAAAGTGGCCAGTAGCCCAAGCTGGTAGCACCAAAGCTAGCCAGCAACAGAGAACAGCAGGAAGGGCTGGAGAACTGCCGGCAGCTGCCACCTCCGGTGGTCAGAAGAGCTCCTGCAAATGTAAAACTGTAACTCAGAGCAGGCGACGGACTTACTTTATTGGCTCTTGGAACTGGGAGAGAAGGAGCCAGGAAGTGCCAGGAATCATAGGAGGATCCAAAGCCCCAGAGCCTGGAGGTTGACACCCGAGCCCCAGCCCCTCTCCCGCTGTGCACACGCACGCACACTCCATCCCCTGTCACGGCTTCTGCCTGCCCGTGGGCTCCCTCCCCGCCCACTGCAGAGAAGGTGACGGCCACAGGCCACCCAAGTGCACAGCTACCATCGTGTCTGCAAAGACAAAAGGAAAGCCTCCTTCCCCACACCCGCTCTAGGGAGAATCTGTCTCCCTGTCTTTTCCGGTGCGGGCCTGTGTTCCTTGGCTGGTGGCTGCTTCTCCTAGCCTCAAAGTGTGAATAACACTCTGGCCTCTGACTTATTGTCCTACTCCATCCTCTTTGACTTTTAGCCTTCTTTTACTTTATACTTGTGACTGCATTTAGGGCCCATCATCCTGGATAATCTCCTCCTCACAAGATCTCTAAGCCATCTCATCTGCAGAATCACCGCTAGGGTGACAGTTTGGTGCTTAGGACATGGATGTCTTTGGAACAAATTCAGTCCCTAAATAAAATCCTGCATTAGTTGCAGTCTTAGTCTGTTTGGTTACTATAATGAAATACAGCAATCCCAGTGGTTCATAAGCAGAAGTTTACTTCCCTCAGTCTGGAGACTCACTGGTCCAGGACCAAGGTGCTGGCAGATTGGTGGAGGTCTAGGTTGCTTCCTCACGATGGCCATGTTCTCACCAATAGCGCAGATGTGGGTGAGATCTCTCTGGGCCTCTTTTATAAGGGCACTGATCTGATTTGTGGTGGTCTGTCTATGGCCTAACCCTCTTTGTTTTTTATTGATTGATTGATTGATTGATTGTCTTTTTGGGACAGGGTCTCGCTCTGCAGTTCAGGCTGGCCTTGAGCTCACTTTGTAGCCCAGGCTGGTCTCCAACTTGCAATGATCCTCCTGCCTCAGCCTCCTGAGTGCTGGGATTACAGGCGTGCACTACCACACTCATCATTAGCTTAAACCTCTTAAAGCGCCCCCCTTACCATCACCCTAAGGGTTCAAATTTTAATACAGGAACATTCAGACCTCAGACATTACTGTATGGCAGCTGTCCCTGGAGAACACGAGTGTGAAGCTCCTCTGCACTCTGGGAAGTGGATGCACTCGGAGACACAAGCCGTCCCAGATCCACTTTGTTCCTGTGTGTGCTGTCCCGGTGAAGCCCGCTTAGCTGCTACGGGGAATGGGTTTCCTGGTCATACGTCACTTCCACACTTCTAGGTCTGAGTCAGAGCCTGTGTTACCCTTGAATCCAAGGGTGATGCCCCCGTTACAGACCCCTTAGCTGGTGGAAAGTTGTGCTTTTTTTTTTTGCACATTTGCTGACAGTTTCTGAACTACTTCTGCTCTTTAGCAATATGTTCTCATTCCCAATGCAAGGATGTTGTGTTTATTTTAGAATGTACCCAATCTGTTCGTCCTTAGATGACATTTTGCAGTCCTCTCACAAAAAATTGATCATTATTTGTATGTACTTGGTGTTACTCTGCAAAACATCTGTTTGTCATCCAGTTCGATAATATACTCCAGCGGAGTATAAAGTCCTGCTGGAAGCTGACTAACAAATAAAAGTTCCTTCAACACAAGGACATCTCCCCCTTACTCTTTTTTTTTTTTTTTGTCTTTTTGAGACAGGGTCTCACTATGCACTTCAGGCTGGCCTTGAGCTCACTTTATAGCCCAGGCTGGTCTTGAACTCACAACAATCCTCATGCCTCAGCTTCCTGAATGCTGGGATTACAGGCATGCGCCACCATGCCCTGCTCCTCATTACTCTTGCTTTGGCCCTCACACCGTCAGATTTTGCCACCTCTGTTCCTTTTTATTGTTGGCATCCATAGACTACCTCTCCTCCTGAAGAGCCTGGGACCTTCACACTGAGCTACATCCCCAGCTACTTTTCTATTTTGAGATAGGGTCTCACTAAACTGTCTGAGCTGGATTACAACTTGTGGTCCTCCTGCCTCAGCCTCCCAAGTGCTGGGATTACAGGCATGCGCCACCATGCCTGATTTGGCAACTGGGGTTTAGAGAAGTTCTGCCTGAACACCTCAGCAGCACGAGCACCTGCCCGCTGGCGAACCCTATAGATTTCTTTCAGACTTCAGTTCTCACAGCCGTGTGTGCCAATGCCCTAGAGGAAACCTGTGTCTCTCTGACCTATTGCTCTGCCTCTCTGCAGAACACTGACTTAGGCAGGACTGGCTGATACAGAAAGGTAGCAGTCAGAAGAAACAGGCAGACATGCAACAGATGTGGGGCAAGTCCTTGAGGGGGGGTGAGTACCCTGAAGGGGGTGTTGTGCACTAAGTCCAGCCTGGTCTGCAGCTGGATCTTAAGGCTTGTGGGGGTGAGTGGGGGAGGCAGGTGGAGGGCTGCTGGGGCTAAGGACTGATGTGCAGCCATCACCCAGCAGAGGCCACAGGAAGAAGGGACACACCACCAGTCTCCTCTACCAAGGCCTCTGGCACATTCTGCTGCAGGACAGAGCCACAACCTTGGAATAAACAAGACCAGGCGGGGCCAGGTGCAAGAAGGAGGGACTTGCCAGACCGCCCAGCAGCCTAGGGCCCGTTGTGAAGACTCCTGGCTTCTTCCTCACTCCCTGAGTCTCTGGGGGTTGGCCATCTAAGTGTCTTTCTTTCCTTGTCTTTCCAACACAAGTTCAGGCAATCCCAGAAGGCCCTGCTGCTCAGCTGCCCAGCTGCGTGGAAAGTCCCACTCCCCCCTCAATTTGGTCATTTGCAACTGGGGGCTTTGCTGGAGGGTGCCACTGCCATCGGGACTTGCACGCTGTCAGGAGCTGGGTGAGCCCATCCTCTCAGCACGCCCAGTGTATCAGTCAGGGCTCGCCAGAGAGACAGGACGAGTGGGATGTGTGTGTCTGCACATGCAGAGAGAGGACGTTTACACTAAGGAAAGGCCACTGTGGGGGCCCACAGTCCACCACCAGGCTAGGGAAGCTGCAGCGGTGTGTCGATGAGTTCCTGCTTCCTCCGCGGAGGTCAGTCTTTCCTTACTGAGGCCTTTGACTGATGAACACATTACAGAGGGTCTCTGGTTTACTCCAAGCCTACTGACTTAAATGGTAATCTCATCTGAAAGAATACTCTCACAGAAACATCTGCATGATGTTTGACCAAATATCTGGGGACTGTGGCATAGGCAAATTGACACAGAATGTATCCTGAGCCCCAGGGCTCAGGCCTGGCCACCTTCACGTACCCTTTGCCCAGTGACCTCACTGAAAAGTGCACAGATCCCTGCGACTCCACCGCAACACCCTCTCAGCATCTGTACCAGAGGCAGTGGACGGCCCTGGCCACACCCTGCCTATAACAGCACAGAGGTGAGCTAAGCACCGATTCTGGACTCAGGACGTGCCTTTGGGATGTGCGAGCGGGCTCCAGAACACTGCAGGACTCCTGTCTGGGGTGGACTGAAGGGACCTGGTGTTTTCTCACCTCCAGGGGCATATTGTGCCTGCCCCTTTCTTGAAAAGCCCACGGCCCGGCCATCAGCTGTACCCAGTACCCCCAGAATAGGTCCTGGTGGATGTGTGCCCTTCTACCTCACAGCCCTAAAGACTGACACAAGGCCATGGTTCTTTTATTTTATTGTTTTATTTTTATTGTTTTTGCCATGCTTCTTTTAAACTTTCAGAAATTAAAAACAGTCAGAACTTTCAGAAACTAAAAACACCAAAATGCCTGCTAGGAAGAGTCCTGGAGGCCGAGGCAGGCACAAACATGGCCGTCCACATCCCAACTTGCAAACTGCAGACCTCCTTCAGCCTCTTCCCCATCTGGCCCTCCTCCATCACAAATCCTCATCATCGAAGGTCTCCAGACACCTCAGCATTAGCATCTCATCGTCAGCAGGAGGGGCTGGTTCCTCCTGCAAAACATGTAGGAAGAAATCGGAATGCTGATGGAAGTTTCCAGGCAGATAGGAAGGCCCAGCAGCTGGGGGTGCTCAGCGCTTCCAGTCTCCACAACTTTCTCCTCTAGCTTCCAGCCAGGGAACAATGGAGATGGTAGTATTTCCATTACACGCAAAGCTCCATGACCTCCAGAAAGGATCTAGCTTCTTTCCTACCCTAGAAATTGCCAGGATCCCATAAGAGAAACAGGGAAACTCTTAGTTTTAGCTAAGAGCTCATCAGTAGAAGACAGCAAACTACACCATGGTACACCCACCAGTGAACAGTACGTAGCTGTTTTTTTTTTTGTAAAAGGAATGAGATAGCTTTCTACCTCTGGGATAAATGATTAATAAAAAAAGTGCAAAGCAATGTGTATGGTAGGCCACCACTTGTGTTTAAAAGAATACACAAATATCTGTAGACCATCCTCGGATAGATGTGCAAGAAACTAGCCATACTAGTTGTGTCTGGGAAAGGGAACAGGGTGGTAAGTGAGGAATAATGGCAGAAAGAGACTAAGTTTTTATTGGATACCTCTTGCTGAGGACCAGCCTCATGTAGTACAGAACAGGCAATAATTAATATTCATAAACTGACACAAAGAGAAATTGAGAATCTGTCCTAGGTCTACATGACTTGTGGCAAGACCTCCGGCTGGCTTAAGAGCACATTAATCTTTAAGCCAATGGCCAGAGCTGAGACTAACAAACAGTCTGTGAAGTTCTGGCCCCTCCGAGCAAGATAACATGGCAGCTGAGGAGCTTGACTCATGCAAATTCTGTCTAGCTCAGTAGTCACAGTTAGCAAACAATCAGGTTACCAGTTAACCCTGATCTGTTCCTGTGTGATTTTCCAAACATGCATTGTTCCTCAATTCTCAAACCTTGTCTGTTTCAGCAATTCACCCTCACCACTTCCTGCAGCCCACCAGCACACTCCCACAATCTAGCTATACACCTAACAAAAGCCAAAGACACCATGCCTCATGGTCCTAGCCCATCACTGGGCTTTGATCATCCTGGTTCCCTATGTAATTATAATGTATATATTTTTTCTGTGTTTTATTCTGTCATTGTACTTCTGAGCCTGAGATCAGTGGTTCAAGGTCAAGGCCCAATAATCTTTTGCCAATTTTTGAATTTTACACCATGTAGAGGGGCTGCCTACTAGTAGATTTTTTTAAAGAAGCAGCACCCTGTGTGTCTAGCAATGACCCCTTCCCACCTCTCAGCACTCCTTACCCCTTTAGGGAAAAGAGTGTTCCTGGGTATTTTTATTCTTCCTGTCTTTCTCTACCCCAGCAGAAAATGACTCCTGACATGAGTGATCCCCATGGGAAGTATCCCTAACCCGAGGCATCCATCAGATGAAAGTAGGACCAGGGGTGACTTCTAGATGGAGAGATGACCTCTGCAAACCAAGCTTGCCTGCTCTGGAGAGCACTTCCTACTCCCTGAGCTTTCCTAACAGGGGTGGGGATGCGGGTCAGGAATATGAGAGGGGTGAGGGTGCGCCTTAGTGGAAGAGCACTTGCCCAGCATGCATGAGGCCCCAGTTCCATCCCCAGCACCTCCAAAAGAGCATCAGATATAGGGCAAGCGGGTTCAGGGAAATGACACAGGCCTCTTGTTCAGGGTAAGGCCACTGGCAAAGAATGAGAAAAGAGGCGCTCGGAGCATAGGGGCGTCCAGGAGGCCAAGGAAAGGAAACCCTATTTCTGTCACACAAATACTTGAATGTTGTTTAAAATGTTCTGTTTCCTTATACCCTGAAAATGGTGCCCGGAGCATTTCGTTAAGCTGCAGATTTCCTGAAAGCGACAGGCTGGGAGAGATGTTTGCTGTTGGTGTTGGCTGCTGAAGTGTGTGGAATAGGCAGTGTCTCCCACCAAATTCATGTTCACTTGGAAAATCATTTGGAGATAGGATCTTTGCAGATGTCATTAGTTAAGGGTCCCACGACGGGACTGCCCTGGAATTAGGGTGGGCCCTAAATACAAATTCCCGGGGTGACTCCTGGAGACAAAGATAAGAGGGACAAAGAGACAGGCAGGTGAGAACATGTGAGGCAGGGATGTGCTGGAGGACAGGGGATGCTGAGGGTTGCCAGAGAGTCCCAGAAACCAGGAAGACACATGGAAGCATTTTTCCTGGGCTTTCAGAGCCCATACAACCCTGCCAACATCTTAATGTAGACTTCCAGCCTTGAAAACTAGGAAGGGAACTTTTTTTTTTTGTCTTTTTGAGACAGGATCTCGCTATGCAGTTCAGGCTGGCCTTGAGCTCACTTTGCAGCCCAGGCTGGTCTCGAACTCGCAACGATTCTCCTGCCTCAGCCTCCCAAGTGCTGGGATGGAAGGGAACTTCTATGGTTCTAAGCCACCAAGTTTATAGTCATTTGTTAAAGCAGTCCTAAGGAGCCAACACAGGTGCCAGTTAAGTTTTGTCGTACCATCTCCCTTAAAGCTGACAGGGTGGCAGCGAGTTGGAGGTGAAATGAGGAAGGGAATGAAAATTTCCCTCTCCCCACCTGCATCTCCTGAAGCTTGAAGTCCCTTGCCCCAGGGCCATTCAGACAGTGTGTTCAAGACAAATTCCAGGACCCCGTGATTTTTTTTTTTTTTTTTTTTCCCTCCGGTACCAGGAACCGAACTCACGACCTTGCGCTTGCCAGGCAGGCGCTTTGCCGCTGAGCTAAATCCCCAGCCCGAGGACCCTGTGATTGTGTCACTGAGCCAGGATCTTGTGACATGAAGAATTGGGGTGACTCCTGGGAGTGCCGAAGTTCAAGGCCCCTGGCTCTATGTGAACACCAGTCTCTCTGCCTGTTCATTGTTCTCAGCCGTATGTGGAGAAAGGAAGAGGTAAAAGCAAAAAACAGTCCCTTTCATCGGTTCCCAGAATTGGTAAAGTGGACAAATATAGCTGATTCTAAGAGAAAGAAGGGGGCAGATTCTAAAATCAGAAAGAAGGCGGGTCACCCCCAGATTGGTAGGATGTGGAGAGTGAACTGCAGGGACAGGTTCTGACCCCAGCAGGGATTCAAAGTGGTCTCAGCAGGGGTAGTGGGCAAAGAGCTAAACTATGCCTCGGTTGATTGAAAAGCAGTTCTAACTGTTTTTAGACAAATATTTGCACTTTATAGTTTATCTTTTAAAACCTCATTGTATTTTTACTAAATCATCATCAGAGAAAGATCTGTGACTGGGGTGGAGATAGAGCTCACAGCAGCACAAGTGCCTGCCTGGCAAGCGCAAGGTCCTGAGTTCAATTCCCGGCAATGGAAAAAAGAAAATATGTGATGTGCTGCGAATCTGAAAAGGCCTCCCTGCTGCTGGCTGAGATCCATGGACTCCTGGCCAAGACCCCCACAGCTGTGACATCATGAGCTACAGGGCCGGCTTTTGGGCAGCAGAAATGATTCTTCAAAAGTTGATCCCAAACGTTCCCGTGGAGTCTCAAAAGATGATGCAACAGCTCAGCCTTTTGCAAAGATGTTGCCCAACATTTACAAATGCCCGAGGGATCTCCTGTTTGCTTCACAGGGCTCCCAATTATAACCTGCCCTGGAGGACCTCCCTCTGCCTCTTTCCTCAGCTTCCCTGATGCCTTCCATTCCACAGGAGGCATCAGACTGGCGTCCACCACCCACGGAGCAGGCCAGAAAGAAGAAAGGTCTGCCCAGTGCCCCTTGCGGGGTGGTAAGGGCCAGGGGTGCCAGGGGCCCTCACAAGCCCTTTCTGCTATGTTAAGGTGGGTGGGTGGGCAGAGGTGTCCTTGAACTCTCCCTGTCCTACCTGTTTTAATTGATTGTTAACGTAGCTGATGCTGCAGAGGCCCTTTAAAAACTCCATGATCTGCTGGTAGAGCTGCAACTTTTTCTCTGAGTTCTCTTGGTTGAAGCTGGCAAACCCAGAACTGGTAACAGAAAAAAAAAAAGAAAATATTTAGAACCCTAACCTTTTACCTCTGCTTGCCGCCACCCCTCCGCCTCAATATGATTGGACTACAGTGTGAGCAGAGCACTTCTGAACATCCAGTGGCGTTCCCGGACAGCAGAGCTCTGCCCAGAAGGCCTGTGCTGCCCCGGTGTGCAGCGGGGGTGTCCTGTCCAGAACCCTCTGAAAAAGCAAGACTACGGTGAGATGGGCCATCGTGCCCTGGCTTCCCTGGCTTAGTAGTGTTCTGTGCTGTGGCCTCAGGACAATGGAGTGAGATCTCTTCGAGCTCTCGGGCTACAGCAATGCCCACTGCTCTGGTTCCACCTGCAGCTGCTGGAGTTCGGTCCCACGGCAAGCCCCGCTCAGTGTGTCCGACATGGCGCTCGGGCCCAGGTGCAGAAAGGAGGCCTGCAGCCTCCTTCCTGACCATGTTTCGGGGAAAAGAGGTGCAGCTGAATGCAACTGGGGCCTTGAAGTGCAGCGCTGTGGGCCCCTTTTGCACCCGATTTCTCCTGGGATGAGGTCCCGAGGCCAGCCTGGGGACCTTCCGGCAGCAACCCCTGCCTTTTCTAGGGAGAACAGAAGCATCTTTAATAGATTGTTGTTTTGATTCCACCAGCTGGGTAGGGAGTTCCAAACACTGCTTAGCGAGCACATGTTGGCTACTCCATCCAAGCTGTGTGTGCAGCCCAAGCCCAGCGCGGAAGTAGGGACAGCAGCCGTCAGCCAGCTGCAGAGAAACCACACTCTGCAATGCCGAGGGGAGTAGGCGATGGCTCCGCGAGGACACAGCCTCCTCTGTCGGTCCCAGGGCTCCTCGAGTCTGGCTAGGCTAGTGGTGGGCAGGGGATGGAGGACAAAGGCTGGGATCTGGCCTGCCTGGAGCTCTGCGTGAAGTCATCCGAGTCCCTGTGGCCACATCTCCAGGGTGACCCAAAAGCCAGGCTCCCATGGAGGACAGTAGATTCACTTGGATGATGAGGATGTAAATGTCACTCTTATTCCCAAGCCAGAGACTAAAAAAGTGTTCAGGCTTCTTTTCAGCCTGGACACCAGCACGATATGTGAAGAGCTGTCCCTTCAAGTCAGGAGGTCACAGGTTTTCGAGGAGCAGCCAGGGCATTCTCATCCTAGGCTGGCTCTTCAGAGGAAGTGCCCTAGAGTACATGCTGGGTCCAGCTGCTTCCTGTTTTAAATCTTGCTGGATCCGGTTTTACGTCTTCTTGCCTTTTGGGTCAGCCACCCCTCGTCTGTGCCTTCTACATCCACCCATCAGCACTGTAGAGGTAACTCCCCCCACAGAATGGATCAGTCTCCTTCAAGCACAAGGCACAGGGCACAGGCCCACTTCCTCACAGGCCCGGGTCCTCCGTGTTCCAGAGCCCCCGCCCTCTTCTGGACAGCTGTGACCAGCCCACGGGCTGCCCGGGCCTGGCTGCTACAGGCTGAACATTTGCGCTCCCTACCCAGGTGATGGCCTTTGGGGGCGAGGGTGATTAATTCCCTTACAAAAGAGCCCAGAGAGACCTGGTTATATTGAGACAGTGCCATCTACCAGACTCCGAATCTGCTGGCACCTTGATCTTGACCTGTGAACAATAAATGTCTGTTGTTTATCTGCCACACTGCTGGGTGTTTTCTGTAGCAGTGGACTTAACAGAAGGGCAATAGCGGCTTCCCATGGGAGAAACAAGGCCAAGGCACACCGGGAAAACAGGGCAAAAGGAACAGACACAAAAGGAACCACTTTGAGCGCATTACCTAGTGTGTCCCTGACAATGTCATTTCCCGGGAGACAACACAGGCCTAGGACCTGCCCAGCTCCAATCACAGAAAAACGTGGATCCCTAAGAACTTCCACTGTATTATACATCCATCCGGGGATTGCAGAGGACATACTGCTAAATACCCTTGAAGGAGTACACATGCGCACGCACGTACGCGCACACACACACACACACACCCATTTGCACAAGTACACTCCCACACTCCCACTGCCTTCCTCACCTGAGGTTAGATGCACTTAGAAATTCACTTTTGTCAAAGAAACTTGCCACATCAAAGACATCTTCCAAAATGACCTGGAAGAAAGCACAGAAATTCATGTGTCAGAAACAACTTAGCTGTTTGATGCTTGCTCAAGGCTGCTGGGGCAGAAAGCAGTAGAAGGCCTTCCTCTCCATGCACTGCAACCCCAAAGGATGTGTGTGTCAAAGCTGGGTCCAAACACACGCAGTGTCTGTGCTCAGCAATCTTCCCATGTGGGAACAGCAGTCTTCCAGGGCTCTGCTGACTCCAGAAGAGCTGTGGTTGGCCTGCTTGTATCTCAGCACAGGCTGCCTGCTAACAACACCTGACACTCTGTAGGCCACTCTCACTACTCAAAAGCTGAGAAATGCGTGGACAGCAGACACTATGGTTGCTTCCTCTTTGTTGAGTTATCGCAATGCTCTCTGGGATGCAAACTCGCTGCTTCTCAAGGACTAGGCCTGAGTGGTTCTCAGGTAATCCTCTCCAGATTGCTAGTTACTGGTTTAATAAAATGGTAATCTGGCTAATCCTGGCCAATGACAGTGGAGGAAAGGTACAGTGGAAGTTTCTGGAAAGTTTTTCCTTGACTGAGAATGAGCCCTCACAAGAACTCCTCCTATCTCTACCTGGTGAAAAGGAGGCTTGGTTGCTCTGGGGAAGAATGAGAAATCAGCCCTAAAATGAAGCAAAGCACAGAGAAGAGAGGAATCTCAGTCCATCCTCGACACTGAGCAACTGGACTGACCCAGACCTCCTTGGACATGAGGTTTAATATTAAAGTCACGGGCTGTCAAGAGTCCCACGCTAGACCATCCTACACTTTGGCTCCCACAGTGCCACAGAAAGGCCCAGTTGCTGACAGAAGAAGGGAAAGTACTGTCTGGTGGTCATGGAAATGATGACGAGAAAATCAGAACCTAGGTGTGACCCAATTCCAAATAGCCCTTCAAACTCACTAAATGACCTTAGCAAAGCTCCAGATCCCCAGGACCAAGGGTGACAGAATTGTTCCTGTCACACTCTGAGTCACCCAACAGGGTCTGCTCACATCCTCTGGGGTGGAGACCAGCGAGCAGCTGGCCCCTTGGCTGTCCACACCGCTGTCCTTCACGCTGTCCTCAGCATAGGCCAGCTGCGGGCAGGTGCCCAGGCTCTGGAGGTCACCATGGTACTGGGCCCAGATCTGCAGGACACTGGTCTTCCCGTCCTCAGACAGTGTCTGCCACAGGTGGGAGACGGCCGCTGAGACGACAGGCTGCAAGGCCTCCTGTGAGGAGACGACGCCATTCCCAATCAGGAGGTCCATCGTCTGCTTGTAGAAGGTGAGGTACCTGGAATAGAAGCGGTGCCAGCTCTCAGGATTCAGGTCATGTGGCCCCTCTGTGGCTCAAAGCAGATCAGCCTTAAAGCTCTGCGGCCTCTGACCCTCAGAGGGTAGAAGCCCCCCTGGGGATCATGAAGGAGCAAGGTCGGCACTTGGGATTCCCTCCCCTGGCTGGCTCAGTTATTCTCCCACAGGAAAATGCCCTACAATTCTGTGCCAGGAGTGCACCTTCCTGTGAGAAATCCCATCTTAATGCGGGACTATGGGCCAGGCTCAGCCAGGGACTGGGTTTCCTCCTATTGGGCCAAGGCCTCCATAAACCACACGGCTGCTGAGGGTCTTGGGTACCTGGAGGAGGCAGTGGCAAAGGAAGTCATTCACCTTCCTCCTTCCCTCCCTCTGCCTATTTTCTTCTTCCTTCCATCCTCTTCCTCCCTTCTTGTACTGGGGATTAAACCCAGGGCCTTCCCGCTAAGCTACATCCCTGGTCCTTTTTTTATATTTTTATTGTGAGACAAGGTCTCACTAAGTTGCCCAGGCTGGGCTTGAGCTTTTGATTCTTCTGCCTCAGCCTCCCAGGATGCTGGGAGTACAAGCATGCGCCATCACACCTGACTCTGTCTTTCTTTCTGTCAGACTATCCGTGACACAAGACAGCAGACTTGCGGAGCTTGAGCGACGGTAGACAGGGGCTTAGCCCTTGTAACACAATCAGCACCCCCATCCATCCACATAAACACCCAATCTAGATTAAAAACAGTGTTTTTGCAGTATCAATGCAGCTTGGAGACTTTGCCTAGACCCACGGCTGACCCCATCCTGAGCACCCAGGACTCAGGGCCTGGTCTGATCTTGCATGGAGGCCACAGCATTCACAGCTGCAGCCTGTGTCCGGTCCCCACAGGAGCGCCGCGGGGGCACAGAACCACCCCACCCAGCTGTTCACACCGCTCAAATTCCAGGAGGTCTGGCGGTGAAGTGATGGGGGAGTGTAAGAGATCCACTTTTTTCTCCTCTTCTTCCTCTGCCTCTGCCTCTGCCTCTGCCTCTTCTTGGTTTTCCTCTTCCTCTTCTTCACCTTCATCCCCTTCTAAGTCCTTCTCGACTGCCTCAGTTGGGAACCAGGGGAAGGAGCCATTCTGAAGAAAACTTTCTGAGATCAAACTGGGGGAGAAAACAGGAATGAGACAGTATTGTAGGCAACGACCCCCGGGGAACACAAAAATACTCAGCACATTTAGCAGCAGTGTGTATAATCCTGCCACATATACACACATAAGGATATCATGACCAAATGGCCTTCCTCATAGGCAAGGTGGCTGGTTCAATATTTGAAAAGCAATCAATGCAATTCACCACACCAACAGACTAAAGAAAAATCATATGATGGTCTCAATAGATGCAGAGAGACAACTGATAAAATCAACATCAATTTTATGATACGAACTCTGAGCACACAAGGAATAGAAGGCAACTTCCTTCACCTGGTCAAGGCTATCTACAAAAAGCCTACAGCTGAAACCATACTTACTGATAAAATATTGCATGTTTTCTCCCTAAAATCAGGAGTAAAAAAAGGATGTCCATTCTTACCACTTCTTCTCGGGATCACACTTGAGGTTCTAGCCAGTCCAATAAGGCAAGAAAAAGAATCAAAATTTAGTATACAGGTTGGAAAGGAAGAAGTAAAAATATTTTTATTTGCAGACAATATGAGTATGTAGAAAATTCCAAAGAAGCTGCACATATATGACTATCTTGAAGGAGGGGACTTAGCAAAGTTGAAGAATATGACATCATTACGTATACAGAAAGAAGTATAGTATTTCGATTAGAGGAGGGGTTTCCAGTATGTGGAAAGTACGTGGGATATGTAGGGATGGAGAGAGGAAAGAGAGGTGCAGGGGTGCAGATGAACAGGAAGAATAACTTCTAATGTTCTCTAGGATAACTATAGTTGACAAAGTAGCTAATAGAGAAGATTTCAAATATTCCTAACACAAGCAAATGGTAAATCTGAGGTGATATGCTAAGTGTTCTGATCTGATAATTACATAGTGTATGTATGTATTGAAGTTCCACACTGTATGCATAAATATCCAAAATTATGAATCAGTTAAAATATATAGTAAAAAGGAAGGTAATATGGTGGAAACGAGCTTGAAACTTTTAAAAAGCACCATTTCACAGTAGTACCAAAAACATGAAAGAATTAAGTTTAAACCAAAAGCTTAATCTATATTTTTTAAAAAGAAAGAGGTTGGACTCATCAACATTTTTCAATTTTGCTGTTGAAAAGACATTTTAAGACAACAAAACTACATGACACAACTTGGAAAGTCAATTTATACCCAGGATCTCTTCATACTGATAGGGATAATTCCTAAGTTGTCAAATTCCATCAAAAAGAAAGAGAAAGCTTGAGAAGATTCTTTTTCAAAATCTTGCAGTGTAAAAAGCCTTTCTAAGTATTCCCCAAAATCCAGGTGTCATAACAAATTGACATATTAGACTTGATTTTTGCATGGCAAATATGAAAAACAAATGAAGCAATGACAATCTAACAAAACAAATGACTGAACGGAAAAATTTTGCAACTCAAGTAGTAGAAACAGAATTAATTTATATGTATGTATAAAGACCTTCTACAATTAAATAAGAAAAGGACAGCCAACCCCACACAAATGGGCAAAGGAATAGGTGCAGACAGCTCCCAGGAAAGGAAAGCCAAATGACCTTGAATGAAGGCACTCACGTTTACTCATAATTAATCAAAATATAATGAATATATTCTATGCTGGTACCACAGTTTTAATTACTGTAGCAAAAATTATCCCTAACTACCCTGAACTATGATTATTTAAATTAGGATTTTAAAAAAGATTAGCTATTTTTCTGTGTGATGAAAATTATATCTTATATCAATATGAAAAAAACAGCTCATAAGTGGGCTTTGGACCACTGGTAACCCGTTTGGGGGAAGCAAGCATAGAATCCCACCTTTCTGAGACCACCTCCCAGGTCAGCGGTAAGGTAGGGTCCAGTTTGCTTTTAAAAAACAGCCTTCAACTGCCATGTACATTCAACACGTACCCACACCACACCTGCTTCCTGCCCTCTGGGAATAACATGGTAATCTGGATGGAGTGAGATTATAGATGGTTATTTTCTTTTTGATACATTTTTGTGTTTTCACATTGTCTACTTATTTTGTTTGTTTGTTTGTTTGTACACTAGGGAGTGGGACCCAGGACCTTGGACTTGCAACTGAGCTACATCCCCTGCCCTCTACTCAATTTTTAATAATTTATCTTTGCCTGTATATTTCCCGTAGGATAAAATTTTGGGGACATAGAGAAAAGTACAGAGAGCAAGTCATAGATGGCCACACCAAAAAACAGTAGGATGCTACATGTCTTCACCCAGACCAGCTCTCAGAAGGCTCTGAATATCATGTAGTTTGCCACGCTTTTCTGGAAGGCACATAGTGGCTTTTGCTCTCATGAGAGGCCGGCCTGTGTACATCACGCCATTAAACCTGGATGTGCTGGGGGCCACTAGGACCTGGCTGTTGCCCCAGAGTCCAGGCTGGGACCAAAGCAGCTCCGCAGGCTGCAGATACTAAGCAGGTATAGAGAGCAGAGCAGAGCAGATCCCTGTGCAGCAGGCATGAGAAGCTCTGACATCACAAAAGACGCTCCTATCCATCTCTCTCAGTTTGAATTATTAGTAACAACCATTTCCGCATCTGTGACACTTACGTGCTTTTCCTCTTTGAAAATGGTTTTTCCTAGGTCCCCACGAGACTTGAAAAGTAGGCTGAAATTTTTGTTTCCCTTATGTTCATATGTACCTTCCTATAATGCCAGTAGCTGAGGACTTGAAATATACGTATAAATACAAAGTACAGGGGCCGGGGATGTAGCTCAGCAGCACAAGTGCCTGCCTGGCAAGTGCAAGGTCCTGAGTTCAATTCCTGGTACCAAAAAAAAAAAAAAAAAAAAAAGAACAAAAGAAACCCAAAATATATAACACTATATATAATTCTAGGATCACATTTCTCTAAAATAGGATGTGCAAAAATTTTAAAAACTAGATGGATGGATGTTCCTCAAAATTAACATCAACTATCTTGAGAGGTAAGACGACACACATTTTCAGGCTTTTCTTTACTTTCTATGTCTCCCATAATAAGCACAGGTCACTGTTATAACAGGAAGAAGTCCAGTGGATGTTCTTAGGGCCAGGGAGATGAGAGTTACACCAGGACCAGAACGTAGCAGGTGGGTGAGCAGCTGCTCTGCCCCATGCACCCTGGGAAAGGAAGGGGTGGGACCAGCCCGGTCCATTCTCCCGGAACTCTTGGGGTCTTACCTCTCATTTCTGGAGAACATTCCAGCATATTCTTCCTTAACCTCCTCTAAGCTGCAGGGGTTCCCATCCTCCAGATTGAAGGATCCTATCAGAGTTGAAGACAAGAGTCAGAAAACTAAAGTCAGGTCCTTGTATCTTTGTGGCCCATGGGGGAGCCCTGAACCCCACCCTGTCCCCCAGGTTCAGTTTTAAGGAGTCCAGAATGCATTTTGCATCTCTCCTTTTGGGTGTGAGGGGAGAACTCAGAACAAGTACTGATTCACTTTTTTCTCTAGCCTCTTAAGATGAGGTCAGGTCCCCGCAGAGGACCCCGTCCATCCTGCCAGGCTACAAGCTCCTTGGAGTTGTGGGCATCAATCTCAATCATAGCCCAATCACATTGCCTGGTGCACAATAGGCCCTCAGTAAAGATCTATGGGCTCTGTTGTAACCCAGTCTCTGTTTTCAGCATAAAAAAAGAACCAGCCTTTGCCAGCAAGGGACTTATTACCTTTCAGCTTCAGCAAACTATCCAGGGTTTCTTCCAGTTCCCGAATATGATTCTTTGCTTTGTTCAGAACCTGCCACTGGGGACAGAGATGGACAATGCTGCTCAGACAGCCTTGCACTGCGAGACCCTGAATGCCTGTTCCTTCTTTGTGCCCACTCCCCTGCTGACCTATGCCAGGGACTCTGGTCCTTATGCACCACCGGAAGCACACAGCAAACATCTCTGCCTCTAAAGGACTTGGAGCACAACTGTGCTGGACAAGCTCTCGGCAGAGGCCAGATGTGCTGTCACCCTGCTGGGTCCTGAGCCTTAGTGTGGCCCAGCAGAGAGGAAGAACAGCCCTCCCTCCGCTCCTCACCGGCCTGCTGCTCCATTCTACAAGAGCAGGTGGGGTCTCTGGTGGGATTTCTTCAGCTATAAACAACAGAGGTTCCACTTGGAACTCTGCACAAGGGTGCTCGGGCGCCTCTCTTTGACCTCCACAGAGCCCTGGCCTCATGTCTGCTCAGGAGCTCGCCTCGGTGTCTGTCCCCAAGCGAGAAGCCTCTGCAAGCATGGTGAACAGACAGCATGAAGCCTAAGAGCACTGCTCTGCTGACTGACCCTCTCAGAGAGGAAACACTGCTGGCTATGAATAGGCCCAGGACAGCAGGGATCTCCTGAGAGGTGGCCATGCCTGCAACAGGTACATGGCCTCTTCCTGGCACTGCCCTAACCAGCCGGCAAGTGCTTCCTCAACTTTGGTTCCCTCCCTGTTAAGAGCATGGGGAACTGTAGCTCTCTGGAGAACTTTCCATTCCGGATTTTCTCATGGTCCACTGCTAGCACTAACTCCATTTTTTCTACCACAGCCCCAATCTACCTGGACCTTCCTGCGTGCTCTGCCATGTAATTAATTTACTTACTGCTAATTGGCAATTAAGAAACCGCATGAGGGGGAAAGCAGAGTTAAGAACAGGAAAAGATAAATGCTTACCTGGAGAAACCCATTGCCTGAGGGTGTATACATACATGTGGGTATTCGTGGCATGTATGTCAGTGTGTGTAATAGTACAGTGCATGCACGTGTGTATTACTGTGCTGTGTGCACATGCGTGGTATGTGCCCCAAAACGTGCAGATGAATGTGTGTTTAGGTAGAAGTACAGGGTCCTGGAGCAGCTGCAGAAAGCCCGGTGCTACGCTCAGATGGGTTAGGCATTGTCAGTTGCTCGCTAACCAGGTGTCTCCTCAAGCGCATTATTTCCCTCCTGTGTCAAGCTAGTCTGTGCAGGTAGATATGGCCTGGGGCTCACAGTTCATCTCTGTGCACCACCAGCAAGCAGCAGCAGCAGCACTCCTGGGGCTATGCAGCATCCCTCCCAGGTGGGCAGCAAGGGCGGCAGCTCCCGGCCAGGCCTCATCTCAGTCCACCTCCCTCCACATGGGGAAAGGTCTCCTCCCCACACCTAGGCCCCCATACCTTCGAAGCTGTGAGCTCAGACTCGGTGAAAACAGTCTTCCTCAGGCTGTCGAAGAGCCCTGCCATGGTGGCTCGGTGGCGGGCCTGGGACAGGCGTCTTCGGGCCACCCGAGGCTCCAGCTCCTGGACCTGCATCAGTGGCTGTGGCACTGTGCTCACAGGGTGGCTGCCTTCCCCAGCGGTTGCCATTCTAGGCTGCAGTGTAATAAGCCTTTTCACCCTAAATAATAAAAGAACATTAAGAAAAAAAGAAAGGCAGGTTGAGCAGAGAAAAAGGAGATACCTCCTAGGTAAAAAGATCCCAAGCCAATGAATATAACTAACAACAGACGCAAAATCTGTTCCCAAAGACTGATTCCAAAACTCACAAGCCACCCATACTGGACTCACAGTGGCAGGTCCTGGAGGCACATTGCCTGAGCTCACCAGACTCTTGCTCATTTCTGTGACTGAGGACGGCAGGACACCGGAGAACTTGTGCATCATACTCTATCAAAGCTGAAGAGCCATATGTCCCACCTGGGAGAGCTTGCCAGTCTGGAGAATGGCCCCTCTTTGATCTGGAGAAGGGTTACCCTGGTGTGTGCATTTGAAAAAGAATCCATCACAGTCACCACTTTTGATGCACGAACTTTTCTGTGTATATGTTATACCTCAAAGGGGAGGAAAAATACAGGATTCTCTGCACCTCCTTCAGCACTTCATAGGGAAGTGGAGGCACGTTTGTCTAGCTTCTGCTTCAATCTGAAGATGATTATTATGTCAGCGCTGTGGTTTGGATCTAAAATGTCCCCCAATGTCTCATGTGTTTAGAAGGCAATAGGGTTATGGGGGTGCTATATTCATCAGTGGATCCATCCATGGATGAGCTTGGATTTTCCTTTCTTTTTGGTTCCAGGAACTGAACTCAGGACCTCATGCTTCCCAGGCAGGCTCTTGCACCACTGAGCTGTTTCTCCTACACCACAGATGAGTTCTGTAGCCAAATGTGCTGACAGAAAGTGGAGTCTGGTTGGAGGTGGGTCATTAGGGCTGTGATTTGAAAGGGTATATTCTTATCCCAAGCTTCTCTTTTACATTCTGCCTCCTGTCTGCCATAAGTAACAGCTTTCCTTGGCCATGTCCACCCTCCAGGCCACTTCTGCCTTGGAGCCAGCCATGGATTTAAACCATCTGCCAAAATAAACCTTTCCTCCCATTTCCTCTGAGAAGCTTCCCATTCCCAAGCCACTCTGATTTCTAATTTAATCTTGTTTTGCTAACAAGTCAGTAAGAACTTTGGTAAGACTCCATGGATCAAGTGTTGACAGTGTCCTTCCCAGGATATAATTAATAAAAATCTCACTTAATCACTCCCTCTCTTGGCTGTTTCTTCCAGACTGAAACTGCTAAGAGTTTTATTGTCTGGACCACAGAGCCAAAAATTTCCCAGGCATGGGGACCAATGGAGCCCCAGAGTTGAACAGCCTGAGAGACAGTGTAGAGCAAGAGAAAAACTCGGAGGGGGAAAGGAAATAACATGTTAGTTCCAACCTGACCCTAAAGACCTCTCTGGACCCAGGCATTCACTTTCTTATAAATCCAGTCCTTGGCAGGATTCACAGTGAAAGAGCCCAAGTGAGATGCTTAAAAAGTCTTCTGAAGATGATGCCAACCAACTGCTACATAACAAAGACAGAGATTACACAGGGGAAGAAGAACCTAGGTGTTGCATTCTTACTCAAACTGGGCACAGTTGGACAGGTGAATGTGACTGGTTAGGCTGCTAAAATACACAAGCATAGGAGGAACTCACTGGGAGTAGTTGAAGGAAGATAGTCTTAACCACCCCAGACAGGTGAATGATGTGCTCAGGATGGTTTATTACTAAAGGATAAGCTGATGTAGGGAAAGACACTGGTTTATGGTTTGGCCCAAGACCTGGGTTATCACACTAGCTTTAGGTTAACCAGCCATGGGACTCTGGATGGAGCTAAGCAATTCTAGGTCTTAATCTCTTTATCTGTATAAAAGAGGTAAACTTTACACCCTTTCACTTTACAAGGGCATGGTCATGGCCCAATGGCTGTCCTACATTCAAGCCGCTCATGGTCCAACAAGAGTGAGGTATGCAGCCCTTGGGAGTGTGCAAAGCTTCATCTTAAGGAATTTCAAGCCTGCGGTCCAAGGAAACAAATTTACTGAATGCTTTCACTCTGCAGAAAACCAGAGCCAAACACACCATGAGGCATTTTAGAGCGACCATAGTGCTAACACAGTTTTCCTCTAAAACTCTCACTGCTGCGTTCAGCCTTGACTGTGAGATCAGCTTGGTGAGCAAAGCTTTTCAGTCTAACAAAGTTAAGACAGCTTCCTTGATACCTCAGCTAAAGGTTTGTGAAGATTCACATGGTCATATGCTCTGTTTTCTATTCTCATTGATAAAGGAAAGCACACTTTGTCATAGTCAAGCATTTTCCTATTAATATACCACTTAATACCCACTTAGAACTGACATATTAAAGACTCCCTAGACAAAAGAGAAATGGCCTCATCTTTTCTAAGTTTGAGGGAAACTTTCAAACTTATTTATTTATTTATTTATTTACTTATACTAGAATCCAACCCAGGGATTAGTATATGGCCCCTGGACTACATTCCCAGCCCTTTAAATTTTTTTTAATTAAATTTTTTATTTTGAGACATGATCTGACTAAGTCATTGAGTTGCCCAGGCTGGGCTGGAATCTGTTGTTCCCCCTGCCAAAGCCTCCCACAGAGCGGGGATTAGAGTCATGCAGCACACCATCGAGCCCCAGCCTTTTTTTTTTTTTTTTAATTTTATTTTATTTTATTTTATTTTTTAAAATTTGAGACAGTGTACCCTGCAGTTGGCCATGCTGGTCTCAAACTTGCAACCCTCCTGCCTCAGCCTCCTGAGTAAAACTTTCAATCCTTCTTAAGCACCAGAAAACACTTGAGTACGATCTCCTTAGCAAACTGCATTCTCCTCAGCAAACTGTAGGCAAACCCATAAAATACTCTGGAAATGCATTGGCAATTTATTATATACTTCTACAAAATCCAGTTACTTAATGACACCCTGTCTCAAAAAAATAAATTGAAAAAAAAAAAAAAAAAAGGCGGGGGGGGGGCGCTGTAGTTCAGTGCGAAGCCCCTGGGTTCCATTCCCCACATGGCGGCGACACACACAAACCCTATATACAACAGACCCCAAGTTCCTGTCAGGCTGCGCACGTGAGGCCCACGGGTGTGTCCATGCACAAGCCCACACAAGGTCCCCCACGAGCTGACCCCAGTGGACACTCACCGAGGGAGCAGGCACTGGGCACGTCGCGCCTCGGCTCGCGGGACACACGGGGAGCCGCGAAGCCCCGTCCGCAGTCACCTCCTGCCTCGCGCCAGAGTGAGGTGTGAGCCTCCTGCTGGGCAGAGAACAGGCGCCCTAGCATCTCAGGCGGGGTGGGGACCAATCGTGGCCCTGGCAGCAGCCCCAGCCAATGGGGACAAGAGGTGGCGGGCCAATGGCAGCTCGGGCAGAGCGAACATTGTAACAAGTTGCGGGCAGGTCACACTCAGGGACACGCAGGGCGGCACGGGCTGACCTTCTCACCCCGGCTGCTCGTCCTGCACGGGGCCGAAGCCACCCGCCTCGCGGCGTCGGAGGGGACGCCTTCAACAGGATGCCCGGCTTGGGCCTCGAGGGGAGGGACGGGAACGCGCGGGATGCGTAGGAAACGGGCGCAGACCGCAGGGAGAGCCGACACTTCGGGGAGAAGACAAGGAGGAAGGGGACGGGAGAGAGCGGAGACCTCTAACACGTCAGACTACAAGTCTTCATTGCTTGGGATGGTGGAAAGCCCACTAATAATTCGTTTTTCCTTCCCGAGTGCAAGTGAACTCCGGCCTCTAAGCCCCGTTTTGCTCATATCCCTGTATCCTCAAGTGTTTCAGAATGGTTCTGACCCCCTGCATTACCTGCTCACGAAGAGTATCTGGCGGTCTGGCGCCCTTTTGGGCAGAGGCCGGGTTGTGACCTTGGAGAGGCTGGGCTCCGCTCCTGTGAGGAGACAAAGGCGCCCCCTGCGGGTCCTGACCAGAGCTGAGCAGCTCCCGGACCGGGGGTTAAACAGAGGTCATCCGGCTCCACAGAAGGGGCAAGGTCTCTGGTGTCACCCAGACTTGGGTTCCAGTCCAGGCTCTTACAGTGACTGTGACGGTTACGTACGAGCCCGTACCTAAAGCATACAGTAGGGTCCCTTACACTTAACTCTGAGGAGTCTCGGACTCACCTTCCAAAAGATTTAGTGGAGCGTTAAATTAAAGAAACACACGTGCAATAGGAGTCACTGATTCTTCTCCCCTTCCAGGTAAATTTGAAATCCTCATTTCTTTCCAAAATTCTGACTAGATCATGTTGGGGCCTGTCCCTTCTGACCCTCAGGGGTCCTGAGATGGGATGTTACTCAGAAGCCTGCTTACCTACAGCAGCCTAATTTCTTTATTGAAAATGAGGATCTGGGCGACTTTAGTCAACTCCCACAGCTACAGAGCAGATGGCTCTGTTCACAGCCCTGGGCACCTCCTGTGGCCTCTCGCAGCGCTGGGTAAATGAGTGTTCTGTTCAGCAACATCCATGCACACCGTCGCCCCCTGACCCTGGCCTTTCCTTCCCAGTAGCATAGCTTCTGCCCTAAAATACATCCCCTCATGTACAGTAACAGAACCATCCCTGAAATACCCTCCCTCCACCAGCAACGTATCTTGCCCTGAAATACCCCCTGCACTATACAGTGGTGTAGATTCTGTCTTGAAATACTTGTCCCACGTACCTGTAGCATTAGATCATGCCCTGGAATTCTCTCCAAGTTCCCCTAGTATAAGAGCATTCCCTCCTCCCAGATCCAGCTCAGCACTGGACCACCCATGGATGGCCACCTCTCTTCCATGGCCCTCTGGGCCTGAATTTCTGGTTAGAGAACTTTCTGGTCTTTTTTTTTTTTCTGGTCTTTTTTTGAATTGATTCTCTACTGTCTGTTTTCATTTCTTGTGATAAAGGGCAGAGGCTTCAAACTCCACCACTGCATTATCCTCCAAATAAAGTGAGAGGGATGGATCAGGTACTGAGTGTCTTCTGTGTTCCTAATTCTGATGGACAACTCTGTGAAGGAGCTTATTTCCACTTTACAAATGGGGAACCAGACTCAGGCTTGCTAAAGGT